TTCAATATCTTGCTCTCTCTCATCTTCTGGCACCCCTATAATTCTGATGTTGGTACGCTTGAAGCTGTCCCAGAGGCTCCTTACACTATCTTCGTATTTTCGGATTCTTTTTTCATTTTATTATCTCTTTCCTTCTGCTCGCGCTGGGGTTTTCTTGTTGCTCTCTTTCTAATTCTTTGAGTTGTAGAGTTAGATGATTTACTACCATTTTTTCTTGTTTTTTGAGATAGGCCTGTAGAGCTATAAACTTCCCTCTCAGGACTGCTTTCATTGTGTCCCATAGCTTTTAGATTGTTTTGTTTTCATTGTCATTAGTTTCCAGGATGTTTTTAATTTCTTCTTTGATCTCATTGGTAACCCAATCAATATTTAATAACATGCTATTCAGCTTCCAAGTGTTTGAGTATTTTGGGTTGTTTTTATTGTAGTTTATTTCTAATATTATGCCATCGTGATCTGAGATGATGCTTGGTATGATTTCAATCTTCTTGCATTTGGGGAGACTTTGTTTGTGACCCAATATGTGGTCTATTTTTGAATCTGTCCCATGAGCACTTAAGTGGAATGTATATTCCGTGGCTTTGGGGTGAAGTGTTCTGACGATGTCAATTTAGTCCATCTGATCTAGTGAGTCATTTAGGATTGCTGTTTCTTTGCTGATTGTTTGTCTAGAGGATTTATCCAGTGATGTCAGTGGTGTATTAAAGTCCCCTACTATGATTGTATTGTTGTCGATCTCTCCTTTGATATCTTCCAGGAGTTTTTTTTTTATGTATTTGGGTGCTCCTGCATTGGGCGCATACATGTTTACCAGGGTTATATACTCTTGTTGTATCGATCCCTTTAGTATTATGAAGTGGCCTTCCTTATCTCTTGGTATGGCCTTCACTTTGAGGTCTATTTTGTCAGATATGAGTATTGCTACCCCAGCTTTTTTTCCCTTTCCATTTGCCTGAAAGATATTTTTCCATTCCTTCACTTTCAGTCTGTGTGAGTCCCTTATTCTGAGGTGAGTCTCTTGTAGACAGAAACGTATGGGTCATGTTGTTTTATCCATTCAGCCACTCGATGTCTTTTGGTTGGAGCAGTTAGTCCGTTTACGTTTAAAGTTATTATTGAAAGGTACCTGTTTGTAGCCATTTCTTTTTTGTGTGGCTGTTTTCTTTCTGAGCTTTTTATTTCTTCTTTTTACACCAGTCCCTTTAGCATTTCTTGCATTGCTGGCTTGGTGGTGATAAACTCCCTTAGCTTTTTTTTTTTGTCTGTGAAGCTTCTTATTTCCCCTTCAATTTTGAATGATAGCCTGGCTGGATAGAGTATTCTTGGATTCAGTCCTTTGCTTTGCATCACTTTGTAAATTTCCATCCATTCTTTTCTGGCCTGATGTGTTTCTGTTGAGAAATCATTTGATAATCTAATGGTAGATCCCTTGTATGTAACTTTCCATCTCTCTCTTGCAGCCTGTAAGATTCTCTCTTTGTCCTGAACATTTGCCAACCATGGCTCACTTTATTCAATAGACTATCAGAAATAATAAGGTCTCATCATCTTCCAAGGCCTTACCTGTCAATCAAAATGATTAGTAGATGATAAACCTGCCCTCAGGATGAAGCAATGCAGGCCACAGGTTAAGGCTCCAAAAGACCACTCGAAGTTGTGTGAGAGTTGGATGTCAGCTAAAGTACCTATTTCTAAATTAGTCTAACTGCTGGATAAAACTAGGGCAATCCAAACTCTAGCCTGAGGTGTATTTGAGCCAGCACCACTTGCCTCTGGCAGGATCCTTAAATTCATTTGTGTCAGCTTTGTAGCTTGTACAGCCAGCCCTGGGAGTCTCCTTCCAAATGACCACACTGAAGGAAAAGAGAGGGAGAAGGAGAGGGAAAGCAGGTGTGAAGTGGGGAGAGTTTTTCCTGCTCCACTGAAGCCCAGTCAGGCACATAGTGGTGCTGTGTATCTCCCTGGGGAAGCCTTCACCCCAGATTAAGGGAAGCACCATAGTACCCCATTGCCCTTATTCCTCTCAGACTGGACCACACTGGTGTCATCAAGGGGGTGAGGTGCCCAAGGCCCTCTCACCACTAGAACCAGTGCAGGATGGGCTCTGTGCCCCACCTCCCCCACACTGTGAACCTTCATTCTGGCCCTGAAACCTCTGTTCCAAGGATGTTAGGTTCCATGAAAGATGAAAAAATGAGCCCCATGTGGTGGTTCTTCCTAGTGTAAGTTAGGAAAAAAAATTAAAGTTTTGGTGGGTTATTAAGTACTTTATTCAGTAATTCCTAATTTATAGTTTTTTCATTCTTTTCCCCCTTATTATCCATTTTGTCTCAGGGCCATTGCTATTACTTGTGACTTGAAAGAGTAAAGGCATGACTCGTGTGGTTTACACATGTCAAAGTTTAGGGCTATATTGGTGGTGGTGTTGGGGCAATTAATAAATCTCCATCTCGGTGATTCTATGAGATCAAAGTTTGGTCCCAGAGTCACTGAAAATTTGCATCTCAGCTTCACTTATGAGCAGTGGGACCTTAGCTAAGTGAGGACTTCTTTCATGCCTCATCTGTGTAATGGGGATAATACTACCCACTTCTTGGAGGATTAAGTGTGATCACAGCTAAAGAGCATTTAACATAATGTTTGGCATGATTATAAATAAACTAGAAGCCTGGTGCACGAAATTCATGCGTGGGTACGGTCCCTAGACCTGGCCTGTGATCAGGGCCATCTTACCCAGCTGCCCACAGCTGGTCTGCCCCCACCGCCACCCACCCTTGTTCCCTATTCGCCATTGGGTGATTAGAGCCTGACGGCCAGGGGAAGGGACTGAGAGGTTGTCAGTGTGCCTCATAGTGACTGGTCGAGCAGTCGTTCTGGTTGTTCCGCCATTAGGGTCAATTTTCATACTACCCTTTTATAATATAGGATAGAGGCCTCGTGCATGGGTGGGGGAGTTCCTGCTGGGGGGCGGGGTCAGCCAGGGTGAGGGGCCATGGTCCTTCTGATCTCTGGTTGTTCTGGTCATTCCGCCATTTCAGTCTCTGGGCTTTTATTATATAGGATATGCAAAGAAGAAGTGTCACAGGAACACAATAACATCATTTCAAGGGTCAGCATAGTTTTCAGCCCCAAGAGTTGCCAGTGGGATTTCATGAGTCACTGGACATCACTGGCAGACCTAAGGAGAATGGTTAAGTGGGGCAGAGACTGAAATTTTGTCTGGCTGAAGTGGACTGTGAGGCTGAGGCACCAAATCTGTTATCCAGTACTGCTCTAGGTGTTTGTTGTGGACCATCTAAGGGACAGACACATGGAGGATGCTGTAGGGGTAAAGCAAAGTCCCTCTTCTCAGAAATATTATTTTCTAGGGTAGATGATAAACAAGTGCAAGGCTAAGTAAACAAAAACTTGAGAGGTCTATGATGGAAATGAACAATGGATGAAGTGATAGAGGATGGGTGGGTGGGAACCTAGTTTAGACAAGGTGATCAGGAAGACTGAGGAGGTGGCATTTCAGCTGAGAGAAGGATAAGCTAAAGCTGGCAGTGCAGATGGGCAAAGCATTTAATGTGGTGGGAAACCCCAGTGAAAATGCCCTGAGGCTAGAGGAGTAAGTAGATATTGGCTACTAACAGTTGCTTCAACCTGTGGGTAGTGAGTACTGAGGAGCCAAAATGGGGGAAAGTCTGCCCCCCCAGGGATGCAGAAATGGTCGTAAGTTTGACTCAGGTAGTCTTCAAATGTGCAGAGACCAATGATAGTTGGAGTCTCAAATATTTTGTTTTGCATCTTAACCAGAACTTTGTGCTAATTTCCAAATTCTGTCTAAAATTGAGGATACAAATATCACCTCATATAACTTTTCCTTCTCAGACTAAGGTGGAGAGGTCCAGGTCTGACAACCTCATTGGACACAGCAAAGAGAATCCACGATGAGGGCGTGATTATCCGCCCATTCTGAAGCTTTGCACGCAGAAGAGGGAGAAGGCCCGGAGTTTCAAAATGACTTCGTGAGCAGTCAGGGAATTCCACCAACATGGGTGAGAAGCACAAAGGCTGTGAGCTTTGTAAGGACTTCCAAGTAGTGAGTGTGGGTGGGATTAGCATTAACTTCCTCATCTGTAAAACAGGGACAATAAAAAGTCCCCGTCCTTACTATTCCCTACAGCAGAACACCTTACAGATAGAGAAAGCGTTTAAGTTCAGTGAAAGTCCTTGTATTCAAGAATTGCAGGGTCTGGGCAGGGAACACTCGGTGCGGGACAAGGCTCCATCCGGAGGAATCAGCCCATCCAGTACCGCAAAGTGCAGGACAATGTTTAGGGCAGCGGGGCCTAAACTTGTTATTCCTGGGCGTCCGCAGGTCTAGGGAGATTCAACGGGCGCGGGCATCCCGTGTGCGTTTCTCTTGGGACTGAGGCTAGAGAAGTCACTTCCAAGCAGACGTCTCCATAAGAGCGACTCCCTGCCCTAAGGTCTCCTCCACCGCCACGCTGTCACTGCTCGGTAAAACAACAGGTTAGGCCAGCTGTGGGCAAACTACGGCCCGCGGGCTGGATCCGGCCGTTTGAAATGAATAAAACTAAAAAAAAAAAAAAGACCGTACCCTTTTATGTAATGATGTTTACTTTGAATTTATATTAGTTCACACAAACACTCCATCCATGCTTTTGTTCCGGCCCTCCGGTCCAGTTTAAGAACCCATTGTGGCCCTCGAGTCAAAAAGTTTGCCCACCCCTGGGTTAGGCAGAACACCCCCTCCTCAGAAACAGAAGAAGATACAAAATCCTCTACAGTTCTCCCAACTATTCCCGCCACACTGGCCAATGCGCCTAAACCGGTAGCCGGGATTTGCGTGCCCTTGGAGGAGCATTGTGGGGCTGGGAGTCCAGGCTGGGGCGCGGCTCAGGACTTCGAAGGCCACAGAACTACATTTCCCAGGAAGCTCCGCGCGGGTGCGCTTCGTGCGCGTGACGACTAGACTTCCGGAAGGACCTGGGGCGGGACCGTGGCTGAGGCTGGAGCTAAGCATCGGGATGCAGCGCCCTGGGCCCTTCAGCACCCTCTACGGGCGGGTCCTGGCCCCGCTGCCCGGACGGGCCGGGGGCGCGGCCTCTGGAGGAGGCGGGAACAGGTGGGGTGTGCCGGGCTCCCACGTGCAGCCGCCGGTGTGCGTTCGTTCCGGGACCGGCGCCGCGGGCCAAACCAGCCTCAACGTCAGGGAAGCCAATAGTGCCTTCCCAGCCCCCTCCACGATGTCCAAGGCCGAGGAGGCCAAGAAGCTTGCGGGCCACGCGGCGGTAGAGAATCACGTGAGGGTGAGCGGCTCGGGCCGCGGGCTGGGCTCCTGGTGGGCTCCGCTGGGGCTCCCTTGTTCCTGAAAGGGCGTGGGCTGCGTGAGCGGGGTGCGGGCGCGCATTTCCCGGGGTTACTTCCCTGCTCCTTAAAGGCTGTTTTGATGTGGGGTCTGCTGGGGGCGAGCTTCCCAAAGACTCTGTGTGGCCCGACAACAGGTTTGCAAAGCGGAGCCTGGGTGGTGTCTGATGTTGAGTGGGGCTGGAAGAGACTTACTTGCCCTCTGGTTTCCTTACCAACAAAGGGAAACTGACGAGTTCCGGCTGCTGAGAGGTCTTCTCTTCACTTCCCTGGGAAGCCGGCGGAGAACTGGCTTGAAAATTGTCTTGACATTTGACTCCAAGCAGGTTTTAGCTCGGCGCGCCCGCCCCCGAATGTACTCGCCAGAGGGCAGGGGAGATGGAGTCTGAGGGGGAGACCTGAGCGTTAAACGCCCCTTGGACGGGGCGGGGGGACACTCGAAGCCTGAAGGATGCTGTTCCGAGGTGTTCAGCTGTTAGTGGTGAGGTCCTGCCCCACTTGTTTAAGCGGGTGTGATTCTTGCTGTTAGTGGAGTCTTTTGACCCGAGTGGATTTGTTGTTGCCTATCAAGTTAATTATCTTAATACTAATATTTGGGTAGCCAAGTGGAGTATCTTTGTCCTTAGGTGGAGTTTCTTAGACTTTACTGGCTTTTTGTCTTTTCTACTTAAAAAATGGTATCGTCTTCTAATGCTAGTGCTTGAGAATACCTTAGTTTACCAAGCTATTTTGCATAGACAGATGATGTTTGATCCCACACAGCCTGTTTAATGGCGGGGCCAGTGCAATAAGCTGGCTCAGCATGCTCTGTAGAAGGAATGGCCAAGGATCCTCCAGAACCTAGTGACTAATGTTAGGGGGTACCCTTCCACCAGGTCCACAGCTGCCCTGTCCTGGTGTCACTTGTTACAAGTCTGGTTAGCAATAGGATTTTCTATGGGAATTCACAGAGTTAATGTAAAATGTGTACTTTGGCTCTACTTTTGGAATTCAGTATCTTAGCTGCAAAATTGGGACAATAAGCTGAGATTTGAAAATGCCTGGATAAAGTGAATAGCTAATGGACAGGTAAATAAAACGAAATCGATACAGTTAGAAAAGCCCTCTATCTTAGTTTTCCTGTTAATCTGTTTGCATTAGTATTTGGTGGCGCATGTCTTCCTGACCTTTGTTTTATAATTATGTATTTGCTTAAATAAAATTTGTAAGTCCCCACCTCAGGCTAAAGCCCCAAAACACTAGATTCCAGCTATATTATTCCAAAAGTTGCCGGGTAATCCTGTGGAGATCTCCACTGGGCTTTTGGGGGCACCTCACCCAACGTCAGTGGCACTTTCCTACCAGCATTCTTTCCTGAGATGCCAACACTACTTGAATTATGTATTTTCTGCTGTTTAATGGTGACTTAGTCTTTCCTTTGTTTACCAGGTAATTATTGAGTGACCAGCAGTGTCAGACAGTTGGTGTGGTTACCAGAAGTGTGGTTAGAGCAGGGAGGAGAAGAGTCTGGTCTGGATACTTTGCAAGTGGGATAACTAATTCAAATGCACATTTATTGAGCATATCCATGTACTTAATTGCTCTCTCCAGGGGATATCCTTTACTCCATCTAACATTTGTCCTCTAGCATTTTGTGACTTGGATTCCTTTACTCACAGGTGTAAGATTATCAGGGTAGGTTTTGTGCTAAGTCCTATCCATCTTTGGAATGTTCTTAGAGCTGACCTTTTCCTTTGACCTACCAGCCCCATTTAGGCTCTTCCCAGGGCCAGATGATAGTGGTTGCCCTTATCTTCTCCCCTCTGTCAGCCTCCCAGCATTATCTTCTGAAGCTTTCAACTGCTCTTGTCACAGTGGCCCTCATGGGGCTTCATCCTGACCTCCATGTGGCACAATTGAAGAATCTATTGTAAGCTAGGTACTCAGCCAGGTGGGAATGATCCATAGACAAGAGACTGGTCCTTGTCCTCAATTCCACCATCTTGCTTACTTCTATGCTTCCTTACCCCCCTTGTACCAGAATATTGGAAAAGTCAGAATACTGGCATATAGGGTATGTTTTAACTTCGTTACCCTCGACCTAGAATGCTCTTTCTTGTCCTGCTGCAACCTTCAAGGCGGGGTTCAAGATCTGAAGGAGGGGCCGACACACAAATGAAAATACTATACAAGAAATATGAATTTACAGGGCATTGGGGGCCAGGTCTTTCTTGAAGAGACACACTGACTTCTGGCCTGGTTCGCCTTTTATTTACTTGAATACACATTTTCCCTTTAGCAATTCATACAGGCATATCAAAGGTGAAGTTTGGTAAACAGTAAAAGGATTATCAGGTTAGGAAATTGCCTTGATGCAAACAATTGGTGCTTAGTGAATAAGGTGCTTAGCGTCAGCCCTGCTAACACCCAAGGTCCACTGGCCTTCCGTGTTCCTTGGTGCACGCTCATGACAGTATTGGCAAGCAGTGGCTTCCTGCACTCTGCCTTTATGTTAAAGTCATGTGTGTCCTTCAGGATTTGCTGCAAAGGCCATTTCTTCCTTTCAGTTTTTCCTTAGCCTCATAAGGGGAGGGCATATTGTCTTTGATTTTGTAGCACTTTATATCTCTTAGGTGCCTTATGCAGGTGTCTTACGTTCTGGTTATCTCTGTGTTTGTGTCTCCCAGTCCCGAAAAGGTCATGCTCCTTATCTTCATGCAGTGTTGGTACAGCAGGGCCTTCCTAGTAAATGTTCAATGAATTGTGTGAAGTGTGGACATAAATATGGAGGTTGTGGAATTATTGGTGGGTTGAATCTCTGGGGTGTGGGTACAATTTGTAGTCCATTGGTGTTCTCTTGGTTTTCCAATGTGGTAACCATCTCCATATCTGGATGGATGGAGAACTTGGAGATAGCCACCCTGAACTCAGATCTGCCAGTTTCTGAGATTATAGACACCCCTGGTGGGAAGTCACCCAAGCCTGGAAAATTCTGCAAGCTGGCCTTTTTCAAAAAGAGCCCCTAGTTTGTCTCTAGCTTATAAAAGTAGCCAAGCAGAGCCAGCCCCGAGCCGGTTCAGAGGACCTTCCTTTCCTCTGTGCTGCCTCCTTTGAGCTCGAGCATAAGCTTGATAAAATCTGTCTGGAAATGTCTGTGGGGTATTCTCTCCATTTCTTGTGGAGAACCCAAGAACCCCAAGGAGGGGTCTCCACTGATTGATTGGTTGGTGCCAGGGTAGGGGGTCATAATTCAATGCTGCTGGTCCTGAGGTCAGCTGTAGTGTCACTTGTCTGGTTTTGCTGCTTTTCTGGGTGTGGACCTGAAATACAATTGAGCCATTTTGCGTTAGACTGGCAGGAGATTGCTCCCAGGAAGTTGATGAGGAACTGAGCTCCGTATTAGTTTCTGAGTGTTTGTGCCCTGACCTTGTGCTGTTTGTGGTTTAACTGTCCTCGGCTGGGCCCCAACTCTGCCCCTGCTCCTAGGCACCTTCCCCTTTAAGAAGGCAGGCTCAGAAGTGTAATGTCTGTTTCTTGTCCATTGCATTGAGAAATGCTCTACATCTTTATAAGGCCTTCCTATTGCAGAGGAAGACTTTTTCTCATGTTCCTAATTAAGCCATGCTTTGCAGATTCTCTGAGTCAGGCTTGCATCACCTGGAAAGAAGCTGATACAATTTGCTCTTCTGTCAACTCTGGGGGAGCTCTAGATTGTGGGCTGGATATGTCCCTCTGGTTCTTTGTGATGCTACCAAAGTAAAATATCTGTGGTCAGTCCCCTGCCTTCTAGATGTTAAGCTTTTATGAAAAGGCACTGAAGCCAGAAACCTTGACTTATTAATGCTTAGAGCTGGCCCAGGGGTCTTTCAGTGCTCGATCATCTGCTGACCACTATTAGGACAACTTAAGTTGCTGTACGTTGAAAGTGAGCCAAGCCTTTTGTCTGACAGGATGTAGGGAGGGTTAACTATTAGACAACAGGTCCAAAATGGAGTCACATATGATAAGCCCCACGTCACCAAACCAAGACTTAATGACAGTTTTGGCTCTCTGAGAAATGGAATCTTAATCCAGTCAGTCAGCCGGATAGAAACTGCCATCCCTTAGAGCAGTGGTTCTCAACCTTCCTAATGCCGCGATCCTTTAATATAGGTCCTCATGTTGTGGTGACCCCCAATTTCATTGTTACAAATTGAACATAATTAAAGCATAGTGATTAATCACAAAAACAATCTGTAATTATATATGTGTTTTCCGATGGTCTTAGGCGACCCCTGTGAAAGATCGTTCGACCCCCAAAAGGGTCGCAACCCACAGGTAGAGAACTGCTGCTTTAGAGGGAAGTCTGAAAGCCTTTCATTTTGTACAGTTCCGTGAGCTCCTCTCTGCTAGATTGGATGTTGCCCAATTCAAATCAATTTTTGCTCAAATCAACTCTTGACATTTGTAAACTTGCTCAGTGTATATTTCATCAGGAGGAGATGGTGATGTCAGTGTCAGAGATGAAAGGAGGAGGGCTGTGCTGATAAACTGCCCCTGGGCACTGTAATAAAGACCAGGTTTGACGTTCAGTGGTTATCCTATCTAATAAAAGAGAAACATGGTAATTAGCCATACCTCTGCTACCCTTCCCATTGGCTAATCAGGGCGATATGCAAATTAACTGCCAGCCAAGATGGCGGCTGGCAGCCAGGCAGCTTGGAGCTAACATGAGGCTTGCTTGCTTCAGTGACGGAGGACTCCAACGTTCCCCACCTGCCTTGCCGGCCTCTGAGCTTGCAATTTGAAACATTGTTACAAATATAGAAGCTAAACAAAACCCCAGAAACCTGCTTTCAGCCATCCGGGATCTCAGAGCTGGAGTTGATACAGTGTTTCGATTATAGAACCCAAACAAACCAGATACCTACTTTCAGCAGCAGAGGCCTCAGAGCTGGAGCCAGAGCTAAAGCTGGCCCAGAATAAAAAAAGAAAAGAAAAAAAGGAGCAGTTGGGACCTTCAGTCACCCGGCAGCCTGAAAACAGCCCTCAGCCCCTCACCCAGACTGGCCAGGAACCCTAGTGGGGACCCCCACCCTGAAGGGTGTGTGACCAGCTGCAAACAGCCATTATCCCCTCACCCAGACTGGCCAGGCACCCCAGTGGGGACCCCCACCCTGATCCAGGACACCCTTCAGGGAAAACCAGCCGGCCCCCACCCATGCACCAGGCCTCTATCCTATATAGTAAAAGGGTAATATGCCTCCCAGCACCGGGATCAGCGGAGCCGGGATCAGCATGACAGGGGGCAGCGCCCAAACCCCCTGATCGCCCTGCAGCTCTGTGTGTGACAGGGGGTGGGGCCACAAACCTCCCTATCTGCCCTGCTCTGTTCCTGACAGGGGAAGGCGCCCCAACCCCCTGATCAGCCCTGCTCTGTGCCTGATAGGGGGGAGCTCCCCAACCCCCTGATCGCCCTGCGGCTCTGTGTGTGACAGAGTGCGGCGCCCCAACCCCCTGATTGGCCCTGCTCTGTGTGTGACAGAGTGCGGCACCCCAATCCCCCCCACCCCCCGCCACGGGCCCTGCTCTGTGTGTGACGGGGTAGAGCCATAGCCTCCCCATCGGCCCTGCCCTGAGTGTGAGAGTGGCGGTGCCCCAACCCCCTGATCGGCCCTGCTCTGTGGGTGATAGAGGGCGGCGCCCCAATCCCCCCCTCCCCCCAATCGGCCCTGCTCTGTGCGTGACAGGGGGGAGCTCCCCAACCCCCCTGATGGGCCCTGCTCTATGTGTGACGGGGTGGCGCCGCAACCTCCCCATCGACCCTGCCTTGAGTGTGACAGGGGGCGGTGCCCCAACCCCCCAATTGGCCCTACCCTGAGCGTGACTGAGGGTGGCATCGCAACCTCCCGTTCCACCCTGCTCTGTGCATGACGGGGTGGCGCCCCAACTCCCCAATCGACCCTGCTCTGAGCCCGACCAGGGGCTGCACCTAGGGATTGGGCCTGCCCTATGCCACCCGGGAGCAGGCCTAAGCCAGCAGGTCGTTATCTTCCGAGGGGTCCCAGACTGCGAGAGGGCACAGGCCGGGCTGAGGGACCCCTCCTCCTTCCCAAGTGCAAAAATTTTTGTGCACTGGGCCTCTAGTGTTTCTATAAAATGGGCACAGTACTTGCCTTGTACTCTCGTTGGTGAATTAATGTTCATAATAATTTTATTGCTCTAGGAAGCAGGCTGGAGAGGGAATAAAAGATGGTATTAGTAAGTTTTGGTTTTTTTCTTTCCTTTTTTTGTCAGAATAACCAAGTGCTGGGAATTGGAAGTGGTTCTACAATTGTCCATGCTGTGCAGCGAATAGGTATGTCCTTAGGCTGTTTCCTGTATGTTTTGTCTGGTATGGATGATGTGGGGTGGTAGAAGCTGGGGGCAGGATTGGGGCATAGAAAACACCTGCTGGGTATGGCTCCAGCACTGTGGAGCTGCTTGTCTGTCAACTGTGTGTTTCTGCTTTTCTCTGAGAGAGAGATTCTTGGGTCTCTTCAGCCATGTTTGGGGGTTGCCTTAGCTTTGTTTACACAGCTGGAGGGGAGGAGCAGACTTAGAGTGAAGTCTCAAAAGAATTTTAATCCTCATTGTGTGTGTGTGTGTGTGTGTGTGTGTGTGTGGTCTCAGGGACCCTGAGGCAAGCTCTCTGACCCTCAGACAATCTCAGGGAAACAAATTAACGTCAGTGCAGGCTTGACTCTCAAGTGAATGGGAGGTGCCGGCAGTTGCGGCCTGGTTTCCGCAGGTGCTCGCTTTTTCTGATTAGGGTGTCCCAGTGCTTAGGAAGGAGCAGGAATTCCCAGTCCCTGTGGCCACCCCACAGATTTTACTGCCCTGCTCTTGTTTGTAAGAACAAGCCCAGAGGAGAGGCTTGCTAGAGTGCTGGCCTCTTGTAGTTCCAGGGGCAAAGTGCTCAGGAGGCAGAGTCCAGCACCGCTCTGTCTTTAAGGAGTGGCTGTGGTGCTGGTGTGTTGGCTTCTGGAAGCTGCCTCATGGGCCGAACAGGGGCTGTAACGTTGTACATCCTTGTGCCTCAGCACTGAGTGTGTGGAGGATTTTAAGTTCAAGAATTAACTGTGGGTTTCGTAATAGTGACATCTAAACCTTACAAGATGCAACCCATTGATGAAAAAAACTTAAGCTTTAAGAAGACAGTGTTTTTCTTAAGACCTTTTTTAAAAAGTCAAGTTTTCCTGAAAGGTGCAATCCCCAAATACATGAATAAACCCACTCTAACAACCCTCTGGGGTCTACAAATGATATTATATTTTGTATTAAATGTGAAAATTGACCTCTAACTTTTCCCTGTAAAAGGCAGCATAGGGAACTATTTAAGACTGAAGCTAGACTGCCAGGGGTCATATTCCAGTTCTGCCCCTTGTTAGCTGTGTAACTACCCAGATACTCTACCTCTCTGTGCCTCAGTTTCCTCTTCTGTAAAATGGAGGTAATAATTGTTCCTTTCCTTGGGGTTATAACTGACCTTTAGGATTAAAAGAGTTCCCAGGCGCACAGTTCCTTGACTGTAGCCGGGCACATAATAGCAGACACTGGCGCTGCTCTGCCATAGTTAGTACTCACCGCCTTAGGCTTTCTACTGCCCCGTCGTGTGATGTGTGAGGTATGTTCATCAACTTTGTCAAAAGGGGGGGGGACATGGTATGAAAGGCAGGCTTTCCTTTTCTGTTGGATTTGAGCAAATGTGTCCAAGACAAGAAAAGTGAAGTGAGAGTGAAGACCCACCGACATGTTTCTCTCTCCACAGCTGAAAGAGTGAAGCAGGAGAACCTGAACCTCGTCTGTGTTCCCACGTCCTTCCAGGTGGGCCTGCTTTCCTTCTGCATCTTTGTGGCTGCTGAATCTTCCGGGTCCCTGAGCACATGGAGGTTTGGCTGTGGGGTGTGCATCAGGGTTGTTCCCTGTGAGAGGGCGGGGAGCAGGAGAGTGTATTTACTGAAATCATGAGAGGGAAGGAAGGAGAGGAGGGAAGGAGAAGAGGAGGCTTGAGCATGTCACACCCCCAGCCCCCTTTGCCTACCCCACTGTGTCACTCTGTATAAACTTGCCTCAGCAGTGTCATGCTATCTCCCCTGCTGTGTGGCATTGGTCACACAGACCAGCCCTGGGACATTGTGGGCAGGAGTTATCCAACGGCTTGAATACCAAGAGGAGGTAATTGGGGGTCATCTTGGAGGCTGCCTTCTAGGTATTCCCAATGTGTTTATAGTCTAGTTCTGGAACTAGGGGATTTCTCCAGTACTACTTTGGAGAAACCTAGGTACTTGGAAATAATTAAGCAATGCCATTTTTATTATTGTTTTCTCCCATCATTATATGTTTCTCTGTAATTAGAAAAAAAATCACCCTAGCTGGTTTGGTGTAGTGGATAGAGTGTTAGCCTGTGGACTGAAGGGTCCTGGGTTCGATTCCAGTCAAGAGCACATGCCTGGGTTGCGGGCTCCATCCCCAGCGAGGGACGTGCTCGCGGCAGCCGATCAATGATTCTCTCTCATCATTGATGTTTCTATCTCTCTCTCCCTTTCCCTTCCTTTCTGAAATAAAAATACATTTTAAAAAAATAATTTTGGTGTTTTTTTTAAATTTCATTTTTTTCAGTCAGTATTTTATTTTAGCCTTTTGTTGAGGTCCAGCCCCAGCAGGTCCAGGGGTTCCCAAAGGTGTGGACGGAGTCGGCGAAGAAGGAATGACACGGAGGCAGCATTCAGTTGATCAGCATAGCGAGGTTCTCCAGCGAGGTTCTGTAGCCAGGTTCGGTCTTTATTGTCCTGTTGCATCTGTATTTATACCAGTTGATTTTAATCCTATCCATTCTATTCCAAAGGTTAGGGCGTTTCTTATCTCCATTCCAAGGTTACTCTATTGTTCTATTAAGCTACAAGGAAGTAACTGAAGGAGATTATCCTAAGTAAAGATTATGTAGTTTAAGCGTGATTGTTCGTAGTTAAAGTGATTAACTTCCCGCCTGGCACTTAGTTAAGGGGTTTTAGGGATTTATTCCCTTCCTTAGTACTGTTAATCCCTAACTCCAGGGAAGAAATCCCCACCTGGGGAAACAACCTTCCTCGGAGAGGTGACCTTGGTTAAAACACATAGTCTAAGAAGGGGAGCAAACATATTAAGAACAGTATGCTATATACACCAGGTCCCTTGAAACATAAGCTGTGCATATGTTTCTTCCCTGCAGCGACTGTGTCAAGCAGCAAGGGTGGTCTGGCTTCCGGCAGCCTTTTATTATGGAAAACTTCAAACTTCAGAAAGGCTAAAGAACAATATAATGAATTTCCATGTACCCATTACTCAGTTTGAACAATTATCAGTTCATGGCCTGTTTTCATCTGTATCCCATTCTGCTCCACCTTGATTATTTTGAAACATCCCATTCTTAGTGTCAATTCATTGTATATATTTCATTATGTCTGTCTGAAAACTAGGGAGACTTTTAAACATCTCAACAATACTTTGAAATGTAACAGTAATCTTTAATAGCATCAAATATAAATCCAGGGTTCAAAATTCCCCTCTTGTCTTATCCTTAAAAATATTTTTTACAGTTTGAACCAGGGTCCAAATGAAGTCCACATATTGCAAATTCCAGGGTCTTTGTAGTTTATTCTTAAATTTTGGATGTGAAGATTTATGTTGGTCATTTCATCCATCCCCATCTTTTTATAGATGAGAAAATTTGCCAGGGCTTATGTAGCTGGTTTATTTAAGATTAGACCCTATTCCTGATTCTTAATCTCAGGTGTTTTTCACTTTAAGCAGAAAATATTTTCAAGGCATGCCTTTGAAAGAAACTTTCCATCCTTTGGTTCGTTTGCAGGTTGTGAACAATGACGTGAACTTGAGTCCTCCTGGACTTGGGTGGTCGAAGTTCATGTGCAGTTATTCCAGCTGTGAGTCCTGCTCAGGGCTGTGTGGTGGTGGCCAGCACTACTCTTTGCTTGGTCAGCCTCTTAAAGGTTAACCATAGTCATGTCTATAAAGTCAGTGGTGCTGATTTTTCCCACAAACATCCTGAATCTCTCCCAGGCTGGCCTGTCAATTTGCTGAGCTCATCACTTAGCCATTCCAGAAGTCCTACCTTTATGTACTCCTCCGAGGATATGTTCTTTGCTTATTTTTACTCAATAGTATAGCTTGGGAATCACTCCATATTAATTCTTAGTCATCTTCAGTCTTTTTTCCACATTGTTGGATTTTCATTTTTATTTTATTTATTTATAAACATATTTTTATTGATTTCAGAGAGGAAGGGAGAGGAAAAGAGAGAATCACAAATGATGAGAATCACTGGTCAGTTGCCTCCTGCATGCCCCTTACTGGGGATTGAGCCAGCAACCCAGTGATGCGTCCTGACTGGGAATCGAACCCTGACCTCCTGGTTCATAGGTTGATGCTCAACCACTGAGCCACACCACTGTTAGAGTTTAAAACATTTTTTTCTAATATTTTTGTAGATTTGGTTCATATTTTAGGAAGTTTTTAAAAATACTCCATTGCTTTAGGAGGCATTGTCTTCAATAGCAGGCCACTGAAAAAGAGCTGTGAGCTGGGACTGCACTGAGGCTCAGTGCTGGGTTGCCTCCTTCTAGCTCTAGGATGAAGTAGCTTAGCTTTGCGTTTCATGGGTCTAGATCTCCTATCTCCTTGTGAGCCAGGTTTGGATTTGATTTGGGAGGAAGCCTCAGTCAGGACTCAGTATTCAACACTGAAATCCAAAAGAATTCTGCAAATCCTTGCCATGTGCTCAAAGTAAGTGATCATGGGTGCTTTTCCCTGTCCTTCGCAGGCCCGACAGCTCATCCTGCAGTATGGCTTAACCCTCAGTGACCTGGACCGACACCCAGAGGTAAGAGATGGGCTGCTCTGTCTTACTGTCTCCTTTTTGTGTGGCCGTTGCTTGACTATGGGTTCAGGGTATCTGCCGCGTGTAGGAGAGAGGTCAGTTCATCATACCAGCTTTTCTCTGGAGACCTTGAGTATTAATCCTGGCTGAGGTCACAGCAGAGCGGTGTTTGGTTTCCAGTACCTTCCCTTTGGTTTAACTCTGAGAGCTCAGTTTGAGTTTCATGAAGGGGGTTAGATGAGCCCTGGCTGCACCCAGGGCTTCTTCCTTCAGTCCTTGGACAGATGTATGATAGTGAGCCAGCCCATGGGGCTTACCACCATGTGGAGAAGAGAAGTGATCGTCTGAGGTGCCATGCTCATGTGGAAATGGGTTACAGTGAGTTTTATGGTAAAGATGATTACACACCTGGGTAATCAGGAGGCTGAAGTTGAGAAGGTGAGTAGCAAGCTCATAGTTAGCAGTTACTGAGCCCTTACTGAATACCTGATACTTTGCTTAGTGCTATACCAGTGGTAAGTTATTTAATCTCCAGTAGTCTTGAGGGTGGGTACCATTATGTACCCACCTTTTACAAAGCTATGAAAAAGCCACAGCCTCTTGCCCGAGGCCGTGCTTTTATTTTATTTTTAAATTGATTTTTTACAGTGAGGAAGGGAGAGGGATAGAGAGCTAGAAACATTGATGAGAGAGAAACACCAATCAGCTGCCTCCTGCACACTCCCCACTGGGGATGTGCCCGCAACCAAGGTACATGCCCTTGACTGGAATTGAACCTGGGACCCTTGACTCCACAGGCCGACGCTCTATTGGCTGAGCCAAACCGGTTAGGGCTGTTTTTTTTTTATATGTATGCTAGAGGCCCGGTGCACAAAAATTTGTCCACTCGGGATGGGGGGGTCCCTCAGCCCAGCCTGTGCCCTCTCACAGTCTGGGACCCCTCAGGGGATGACCACCTGCTGGCTTAGGCCTGCTCTCGGGGGGATTGGGCCTAAGATGGCAATCAGACATCCTTCTGGCAGCCGGGCAGCCCTCGGAGGTTGTCCACTTGCCAGTGGGGAGCAGACCTAAGCTGCAGTCAGACATCCTTAGCGCTGCTGAGGAGGCAGGAGAGGCTCCCACCACCACCACTGTACTGGCAGCCATCAGCCTGGCTTGTGGCTGAACAGAGCTCCCCCATGTGAGGGCGCACTGACCACCAGAGGGCAGCTCCTGCATTGAGCATCTGTCCCCTGGTGGTCAGTGTGTGTCATAGTGACCAGTCATTCCCAGTCTTTCTGCTGTTAGGGTCAGTTTGCATATTACCCTTTTACTATATAGGATAGAGGCCTGGTGCACGGGTGGGGGCTGGCTGGTTTGCTCTAAAGGATGTCCCGGATCAGGGTGGGGGTCCCGCTTGGGTGCCTGTCCAGCTTGGGCGAGGGGCTGATGGCTGTTTGCAGCTGGTCACACCCCCTTCAGGGTGGGGGTCCCCACTGGGGTGCCTGGCCAGTCTGGGTGAGGGGCTGAGGGCCGTTTTCAGGCTGGCCGGCAACTGAAGCTCCCAGCCTCTCCTTTTTTTTTTTTTTTTTTTTTTTTTGATGAAAGGGTTGGGAAACTGTTTATTTTTATCATTGTAAAGAATTCAGGATTTTTTTGGTGAGAGACAACTTGCAGTTTGTGAACAGTGCTTTTCATATTACTGTTTGCTTAAAGATCATTGCTATTTTAATTTTGTGATTATTCTTTCTTTTTTTTTTCTTTTTTTTTTTTTAATTAAATCTTTATTGTTCAGATTATTACATTTGTTCCTCTTTTTTTTTCCCCCCATAACTCCCCTCCTCCCAGTTCCCACCCCACCCTCCGCCCTCACTCCCCACCCACTGTCCTCATCCATAGGTGCACGATTTTTGTCCAGTCTCTTCCCGCATCCCCCACACCCCTTTCCCCCCCAAGAATAGTCAGTCCATTCCCTTTCTATGCCCCTGATTCTATTATAATCACCAGTTCATTCTGTTCATCAGATTATTTATTCACTTGATTCTTAGATTCACTTGTTGATAGATGCATATTTGTTGTTCATAATTTGTATCTTTACCTTTTTCTTCCTCTTCCTCTTCTTAAAGGATACCTTTCAGCATTTCATATAATCCTGGTTTGGTGGTGATGAACTCCTTTAGCTTTTCCTTATCTGTGAAGCTCTTTATCTGACCTTCAATTCTGAATGATAGCTTTGCTGGATAAAGTAATCTTGGTTGTAGGTTCTTGGTCTTCATCACTTTGAATATTTCTTGCCACTCCCTTCTGGCCTGCAAAGTTTCTGTTGAGAAATCAGCTGACAGTCGTATGGGTATTCCCTTGTAGGTAACTGAGTTTCTTTCTCTTGCTGTTTTTAAGATTTTCTCTTTATCTTTTGCTCTTGGCATTTTAATGATGATGTGTCTTGGTGTGGTCCTCTTTGGATTCCTTTTGTTTGGGGTTCTCCGCGCTTCTTGGACCTGTAAGTCCATTTCTTTCACCAGGTGGGGGACGTTTTCTGTCATTATTTCTTCAAATAGGTTTTCAATATCTTGGTCTCTCTCATCTTCTGGCACCCCTATAATTCTGATGTTGGTACGCTTGAAGCTGTCCCAGAGGCTCCTTACACTATCCTTGCATTTTTGGATTCTTTTTTCATTTTGCTTTTCCGGTTGGGTGTTTTTTGCTTCCTCGCATTTCAAATCATTGACTTGATTCTTGCGCTCCTCTGGTCTGCTGTCGGGAGTCTGTATAATATTCGTTATTTCAGTCCGTGTATGCTTAATTTCTAGTTGGTTCCCCAATATAACATTGAGGGTCTCATTAGTTTTCTTGTAGATCTCATTAAGTTTATCGGCGGCTTCTAAACAGTTCTTGAGAGACCTTAAAAGTGTGGTTCTGAACTCTATATCTTCCATTGACAATTTCGTCCTGTTTCTTTGTCTCCGCATTTTGTTATGCTTCCTTGGTGCACCCCCTAGTGGTCTTTGTTCGCAGTCTTATAGTTAAATCTTGATTGTTGTAGCTAATTCCAGGGAGGGTTTGACCTCCAGGCCAAGTCAGCCTCTCCTTTTTTTTATTCTGGGATTTATTTACCTTCTATAATTGAAACATTGCTGCTGTCACTGGAGCTGAGAGCCGGCTCCAGCTCTGAGGCCACGGCCTGCTGAAAGCAGGTATGTGGGGTTTGTTTAGCTTCTATAATTAAAACTTTGTTGCCATCCTGCTCGCTCCAGCTCTGAGGCCACGGCAGGCTGAAAGCAGGTATCTGGGGTTTGTTTAGCTTCTATAATTGAAACTCTGTTGCTTTCGGAGCTCAGAGCCAGGCTGCGGCAGGCGGGGAACCTTGGCTTCCTCCATCACTGGAGCAAGCAAGCCTCCTGCTCGCTTCAGCTGCGTGGCTGCCGGCCGCCATCTTTGTTGGCAGTTAATTTGCATATCGCCCTGATTAGCAAATGGGAAGCGTAGCGGAGGTATGGTTAATTACCCTTTTTGTCTTTTACTAGATAGGATTTTTATTTTCAGAGAGAGCAAGGGAGAGGGAGAGAGATAAAAACATCAATTGGTTGCCTCCTGCACAACCCCCTCTGAGGATCAAGCCTGGAACTTGACCAGGAAATGAATCGGCAACCTCCTGGTGTATGGGTTGATGCTCAACCATTGAGCCACACCAGCTGGGCTCCCTTGTCTTGCTCATTGCCAGGGACCTGCATCAATAACAAATTTATGTTTAACAAATTAATACAAACTTGCTATTTTACAGTTCTGGAGGTCAGAAATCAATTGAGTTTTACTGAGCTAAAGCCAAGGAGTTTGCAGGGGTTCATTCCTTCTGGAGGCTGGGGGCAGAATGGACTCCCGTGCCTTTTCTGTTTCTAGAAGTGTCTCACATTCTTTGCCTCCTGGCCCCTTCCTTTCTCCATCGTCAAAGCTCGCAAAGGTTGGTCAAGTCTGACACTGACATTCCTCTGACACTGAACTCTGACATTCCCACCTCCATCTATCTTTCTTTTTTCCTTTCTTTCTTTCTTTCTTTCTTTCTTTCTTTCTTTCTTTCTTTCTTTCTTTCTTTCTTTCTTTCTTTCTTCTTCTTTCTTTCTTCTTTCTTTCTTTCTTTCTTTCTTCTTCTTTCTTCTTTCTTTCTTTCTTCTTTCTTTCTTTCTTTCTTTCTTTCTTTCTTTCTTCTTTCTTTCTTTCTTTCTCTATCTTTATTGTTCAGATCATTACAGTTGTTCCTCTTTTTTCCCCCCATAGCTCCCCTCCACCCAGTTCCCACCCCACCCTCTGCCCTTACCCCCCGACAATGTCCTCATTCATAGGAGTATGATTTTTGTCCTGTACCCTCCACACCCCTTTCCCCCTGAGAATTCAGTCCACTCCCTTTCTATGCCCCTGATTCTATTATATTCACAAGTTCATTCTGTTCATCAGATTTTGTATTCACTTGATTTTTAGATTCACTTGTTGATAGATATGTATTTGTTGTTCATAATTTGTATCTTTACCTTTTTCTTCTTCCTCTTCTTAAAAAATACCTTTCAGCATTTCATATAATACTGGTTTGGTGGTGATGAACTCCTTTAGCTTTTTCTTATCTGTGAAGCTCTTTATCTGACCTTTAATTCTGAATGAAAGCTTTGCTGGGTAAAGTAATCTTGGTTGTAGGTTCTTGCTATTCATCACTTTGAATATTTCTTGCCACTCCCTTCTGGCCTGCATAGTTTCTGTTGAGAAATCAGCTGACAGTCGTATAGGTACTCCCTTGTAGGTAACTGACTCTTTTTCTCTTGCTGTTTATAAGATTCTCTCTTTGTCTTTTGCTCTTGGCATTTTAATTATTATGTGTCTTGGTGTGTCCTCTTTGGATTCCTTTTGTTTGGGGTTCTCTGCACTTCCTGGACTTGTAAATCTATTTCTTTCACCAAGTAGGGCAAGTTTTCTGTCATTATTTCTTCAAATAGGTTTTCAATATCTTGCTCTCTCTCTTCTTCTGGCACCCCCATAATTCGGATGTTGGTACGTTTGAAGTTGTCCCAGAGGCTCCTTACACTATCTTCATATTTTTGGATTCTTTTTTCTTTTTGTTTTTCCGGTTGGGTGTTTTTTACTTCTTCATACTTCAAATCTTTGACTTGATTCTTGCGATCCTCTAGTCTGCTGTTGGATTGCTGTATAGTATTCTTTATTTCAGTCAGTGTATGCTTAATTTCTAGTTGGTCCTTTTTCATATCTTCGAGGGTCTCACTGCACTTATTGAGGGTCTTACTAAATTTATCGGCAGTTTCTAGAAAATTCTTGAAAAACCTTATAATCGTGGTTTTGAACTCTATGTCCAGTAGTTTGCTTTCCTCCATTTCTGTCATTTGTGACTTGTTTCTTTGTCTCCACATTTTGGCTGCTTCCCTGTGTTGATAGAGTGGCTTTCTGTGCTAGGTGTCCTATAGGGCCCAGTGGCTCAACCTCCCCAGTTACCTGAGGTGGACACTCTTGGTGCACCCCTTTGTGGGCTTTGGGCACAATCTTGTTGTAGTTAAGCCTTGATTGTTGTAGGTATCACTGGGAGGAATTGACTCCAGGCCAATTGGCTATGAGAATCAGCTGTGTCTACAGTGGGAGAACTTCTGTGCTGGAGACACCCTTATGGGGCAAGACTTGCTTCAGTGGGGCTTTGGTGCTCACTGAGTCTGCCCCCTGAGTGTGTCCCTTATGGATCTGAGGAGTTGTAATCTGGATGGTCCCACTCTGACTACTGGGTACACTGGCACTTGGATCTCTAAGGAGTGCTAACTTAGCCTCTGCCTGAGGCTACCCAGCAGGAGCTACTGAGAGATCTGCAGATTCCTCTTCTTTGTTTGGGATTTGGAGGTGCCCAGATGAGGCCCAGCTGAGAAGCAGTGCAAGCTGCTGTGGGGCCTTGGGCCTTCTTTTGGATGTTCTGGGTCTCTCTGACCCAGCTGCAGTTTGTTAGATAATTGTAGATTGCAAAGGGCCAGGTCATTCATATGCAAAAGCCTCTGTGCACAGCTTGGGTGGGGCATGGTCTCAGGGAATCAACAGGGTGGAGCAAACTGCTATGGCTGACCCTCAGTCCTGCCCTAAGAGGCCCCGGGTCCTAGTGTCCGGTGGTAATCGCTGCAAGCACCTCTGAGAGAAAGCCTCCCTCGAGTTCCGCTCGATGCCAGACAATCCAATTTCTCCCCATATGAGTCTTGGTCCCCAGAGACTCGCCCGGAACTGGAGTCCAGGGCCGTTGAGAGCTTGTGTCTCCCTCCCGATTGCTAAAGACAACCGTGTCCTCAGTTGCCAGCCCTTTCCACGTGCGCCTCCGTACATCTGCACTTTACTTCCGCACCTCCTCTGAGTCTCAGTGTGCTTTTCTGTTTCCTTCTAGTTGTATAATTTCCACTCAGCCAGCCTTCCTGTGGTTCTGGATGATGTCCATTTTGTCTTTTAGTTGTATTTTTGAAGTGGTTATGCGAGGCAGCAATTTCAGGTGTTTACCTATGCCGCCATCTTGGTTTCTCTCGTAATGTAAATATCTGATATGCAGGATGGTCTTAGGCGACCCCTATGAAAGGGTTGTTCAACCGCCAAAGGGGTCGCGACCCACAGGTTGAGAACCGCTCCTCTAGAGTGATGCTACTTAGAAGGGCTTTTTGGGAAGAGGTAAAGATGAGTGGAGCTGTGAAGGCTAGGTGACAAGAGCTGGACAGAACATTCTGGAGAGGGATAGATGGGCACTACAGGAGCAATTCTGGGCAGGCACATGGGTGTATGTGGACAGTGCCCTGGCTGGCTGGGGTGATTAGGACCGAGAGATGGAATGCACTGATATAGTGGGGGAAGGGAAAGAGGATAAGGCTGTATTAGAGGAGTCAGGCAGGGTAATAACCGTCCAAAACCAGGCTGATGGGTGGCACTTGGTGGTGGTCTAGTAATCTAGTTGTCATGGTGCACACCGGCTTCAGAGGGCTTAGCAAGAACCATGGAAGGGCTCATTGGGAGAAATCTGTGGGCAGAGCTTGCACAGGTGGAATCAGCTGTTCAATATTGTTAGGAGAGTAGTTTAGCCTGAATATGGGCCTGCCATCCCAACAGAAAGGTTGCCACCTTCCAGGCCCTGGAGAGTCAGTTGTCCAGGCAAAGTCCAGCCCAGGGGCTATGCAGAGTCAGGGAGGAGCAACGCAGGCTATGACTTAGGATAAAGGGCACATCGGTAAGAGACAGCAGCAAGGGTGCATGCCTGAAGCTTTGTGGGCCTTACTCCTGTGCCCCAGCAGCTGCACCAAGCATCTTCCAATTGCAGCTTGAACTGAATCTGCACCCTGAGGTTTTCTATTGCTATTTTAAAAAACCATACTCGAAACTCTCACATTGTCCATGTAGAGTACCAGGAGTGATGGGAAATATAAATAACTTCCTTGATTCCGAGTTTTGAAAGGTGAATGAATTAATTTGCCCTTTGACCGCATTTGGGGCTAGTAGTGGAGCTTTCTAATGAAAGAGTGGGCAAGCCCAGATGGGTAGTTTGGCAGGACCATGGGGCACCTCAGATAATTTCCAATTCTGGATCACAGCAACTGTGTGTCAGCTTTATAACTCTTTATGGGTCTTCTTAGTCCACTCGAAAGGGCCTGTGTTTGCCACACTAGTATAGAGACTTCTGTGTCAGTATTTCTCAGCCTCTTTTTTCTGATCTCCTCCCTTCCTCCATGACATTTCAATACCACAGATACATGTATATATGTTTCTATACTTGGGGGTGATGTCACCCATATTGAGGTTGCATGATCCCCATAATTCCAGCTTGTCCACAGAGAAGCTCTTCAGTGAGACAAGAGAATGTAAGAGCTGGACTGAGGGGTCCCCAGGCCCCATGCTTGTTTCTCGGTGACTCTAGGACAGTGGTTCTCAACCTTCTGGCCCTTTAAATACAGTTCCTCATGTTGTGACCCAACCATAAAATTATTTTTGTTGCTACTTCATAACTGTAATGTTGCTACTATTATGAATCGTAATGTAAATATCTGATATGCAGGATGGTCTTAGGCGACCCCTGTGAAAGGGTTGTTCAACCGCCAAAGGGGTTGCGACCCACAGCTTGAGAACCGCTGCTCTAGGAGAACAGTTTAACCTCTCAGAGCCTTAGGGTCTTGATTGGTTAAAAGCAGGTAACTGTGCCTTGCTAGTCGGACGGGCTGCTGAGGGTCTGATTGTATTGAAGGTATTGCATGTTCAAGCTTGGTACAGAGCCTTCCCTTCAAAGGCATAGTGGCTTTTCTATCTTTCCTTCTCCCAACACAGATTGACCTCGCCATTGATGGTGCTGATGAAGTAGATGCTGATCTCAATCTCATCAAGGGTGGTGGGTGAGTATTGTGGCGACTTTCTTGCTAAGGAGTGTCTGCCAGTTCTTAGCAAAGCAAAATGGATTTCAGAAGAAGCAAATTGCCACTGTGATGTACCTGAGTTTGTCTTTCTACTAGGATGCCAAGAGCTATGGCTGGAGAGCCGAATTGGCATTTCTGGTTATTAGTTGCAGAATTTGGTGACTAGGAACCTGGGCCTATTCAGTGAGATTATTCATCCTAATAGGTTCTCCGTGTCCATGTTCTTCTGTGATTTCAAGCTTTAAAATTATGCGAGCTAAACAAGCATGTTACTGGGGCTAGATTACTAGGTCTGTGGGCACCAGTGTGTGATCGTTGCTTTAAAGCTGCTCTTACCTCTGAGTACTTAGTGATGTATGTATTCATTCATTTAGAAAACATCAGGTGTTTAAGTGGTGATTTGGGGGTTAGGGAAGGGTGAGTTGCAGAATTTCCTGTTCTGCTGGTTCTTATAATCAAGTAGACTCTTGAAATGACACAAATTTGTTTAAAAGCTCATTGTGCTCTCTCTGCTTCATCACCCTGACTGTCAAATAGCCTATAAGTCAGATTGTTCCAAGCTTACCTTACTTCTCAAGCTATAGACCCCATGCTCAGATGACATTTCCCTAAGCTTGGGACTTCCTCACATATGCATCTTAGATGGCATTTGCCCTGGTCTAACTGGGAACCATTGTCCCATTTCTGGGTTTCTCCCAGACACAAGCTAAGGTTTCCCATAGTCCATGTGGTGGAAAGAGAGTGTCTTAGCTTTGGCTGCCGTAACAAAACACCATAGCCTGGGTGGCTGCAACAACAGAAATTTCTTAGTTCTGAAGGCTCTTTAATTGAAGGTGGCTGCCTTTCACTGTGTCTTCACATGGTGAGGGGAGAGAGTAAGTAAACTCTCTGGTCATTAAGACTTTCATCTTACCGAACCAGGGCCGCACCCATATGATCTCATTTAATCATAATTACTTCCTTAGAGGCCCCATCTCCAAATACAGTCACACTGCCAATTAGAGCTTCAACTTTAGAATTTGGATAGAACACAGTTCAATTCATTGCATAGCAGGATGGGTCATGTCCTTTAAGAATTAAAAAGTGAGGCTCTCTTTAAGTACCAGAATTGAGTGAATTTGGATTTTCTGTATCTGACTAGTTCTCAAATCAAGTTTTTGTCTTAGCCCTGTGTTTACTTTCTTCTTCCCATTCCCAGAGGCTGCCTGACCCAGGAGAAGATTGTGGCGGGCTATGCCAGTCGCTTCATCGTGATTGCTGACTTCAGGTATAGTGTTTATTGTTCTGAATTGTCCACCAAGGAGGTAGTCCGACTTGGGCCTCATCTGTATTTTACAGAGGAGGAACTAGAGACCTGGAGGGACTGTCTGACTTTGAGACTCGTGCCTGGGACTTAGGCAGTGTCGAGGAGTGTTACGATATGCTTTCATGCCGAAGGGAGACATTGCTCTTTAAGTGTCCTTTGGAAGGAGGAGCAGCTTGCCTCACATGTCAACAGAGCATGTCCTCATATGTCACTCATTTGATCCTCCCAGGGAGCCTCAGAGGAAGCTGGGCAAGCACTGCCCACGGGCAGTGACTCAGCACACCCTGTTTCCTCCAGGGTCACGTGTGACTCCTGTTGTGGACAGTCTGACCCGTCTCTCTGGTTCTCCTTCAAGGAGTCTGGGAGAGGACTTGTGCTGAGGCTGTTATTTATTTTTATTAAGTATATACTTGTGAAGTATAGTTGTGGGAAGAACATAAATAATAAACACCTGTATACCACACAAAGCTAGTCATAATTAAATTCAACATTTTTGTTATCATTACTTCAGATGCATTTAAAACCTCTGTGTATTATTCCTGTTTGCCTCCTGTGCCATTTCACCATATAAATTAACACCATTCCTGAATTTGGTGTTATCTGTACCATTGAGCTTATTTATATTTATTGTAGTTTTTGACTCTATTTCCAGGAAAGATTCAAAGAACCTTGGGGATCAGTGGCACAAGGGAATCCCCATCGAGGTCATTCCTATGGCTTATGTCCCAGTGAGCCGAGCTGTTACTCAGAAGTTCGGGGGTGTGGTTGAGCTTCGAATGGCCGTCAACAAGGCAGTAAGTGGTGGTGAGGTTTCTTGAGAACAGTCCAGGGCCTCAGTATTGTGTCTGCATCAGTGATGGGAAAGTCCTTGTGTCCCCAGGTTCTCAGTGTACTCTTTCTGTTTCATTAGGTCCTCTGAGCCTGTCTGGGCCGCAGCCTTTATTTACTTTAAATTGGTTTCTTTATTTGTAAAGTGCTTCTTTATTAATTCCTACATTCAGACTCTTGTGGATAAGTCTTAATGCAGTGTGTATCTTCCGTACAAATGGGGAAACGATTCTCTCTGCCTCGTGTTAGGGCTGATGCTCCTCAGGTGATCTGACATTTTTACCTGAACCCTGCACGACCCTGATTAACATGGGCTAAACTGGGCTTTGGGGAAGCCCCTGGGGCATAAAGTTTTTCAGGGCTCGTGGTATAATTTTCTTTTTTCCTCTTTTCTCATTCTGTGACAAAATTTGACAAGAAATAGAATTTCTTAGGGGATGTGGACTCCTCCTTAGGAATAGATTCTAGATACTTAATCCTTCAGCTTTTAAGGTTGGTTACACTGAACTTGTTTTTCTTACCCAAAAATAAACAAAAAAGCAAAAGTAATAGCCTAAAAACTAATTATACTTAAAAACATACAGTCAAACCTCTGTTCTCAAATGGCTCCCATCTCAAACAATTCAGCACTTGACCAAGTTGTAACAAAACTTCAGTTTTCAACCTGAAAACCCTTTTATGCTGCTATATCAGCATGAAAAAAGTGTCTCTCAGGCCACAAACAGAGGAGAGAATGTGCCAGTATGGGTCATTTTCACAATAAAGCTCACCTTGTTAACATCTCAGGAAATTGCTGTGAATATTTTTTGTGTATTTTTTTTGCTTTTGTTACTGACAAAATGGACAATTAGCACAATTTTAAAATGTATGGTAAAGAGGCCATCAATAGTGCTCTTGTTGCTAAGGCTGTGAAAGTGCTCACAAAACAATGATCACAAGCAATTGAAGAGGTAGAAAAATTGTTGATTTGGATAAAGGAAAGCATCAGTGACAGCATTTTGGAGGCAAAAATGTGAAAAAGTGAAGATGCCACATACCTCCTGAAAGACACCCGTAGAACCAGTGCTGAAAGTGATTCATTTAAGGCTAGTAGGGTGGTTCAGTAAATTTAAGAAAACAAGTGTTTGTTTATAGATTCAGTAGTACATTATATTAGATTAAATAGTACATGTACTGTATAAAAGAAAGGTTAAAACGGAATAATTTAGGGGTCTGGAATGAATTAATGCAATTTACATTATTTCTAATGGGAAAAAATGATTGTTTTTGAACAAATCACTTCTCCAACAGCCTTCTGGAATGAATGAAGTTTGAGAACTGATGCTCCACTGTATATAAAAAGCTTGTAAGATATAGAAAAGAAAGATTATTTGTAAATCTTCCTTGGTACATTTTTATTTTTTTAAATCTATTTTTATTGATTTCAGAGAGGAAAGGAGAGGGGGAGAGAGAGAGAAAAGGAGAGATAGAAACATCAATGATGAGAGAGAATCATTGATGGGCTGCCTCCTGCATGCTCCCCACTGGGGATCGAGCCTGCCACCTGGGCATGTAACCCTGACCGAAATCGAATCATGACCTCCTGGTTCATAGGTTGACGCTCAACCACTGAGCCATGCTGGCTGGGCCATAAATAATTTATTTTGATGTGTTTTCTTCCTGGTGTTTTTGTGACTTTTAAAAATCATTGTCCTAATCATACTGGTTGCATAGAGCTCTGACTCTGACTCCCTTTCTAGCTGAAAGGCCAGGAAGAGATTGTTGGAGGTTCTCCTTCATAGCTGGGATTATTCCAGACAAGAACTTCAGCATCTTGCTTTTATGGACCTCTTAACTGAGCACCCACCCCTTCTCCTCCAGTCTGCAGGAGAGTCCTAGTTTCTTTGTCTTTGTAGTGCTCTGTCAGCATTTGTGGCACTAAACATTTTCTTGTGCCCAAACCTGTTGAGGAATTCTGGATTAACTGAAACTACCCCTATCTATTTGACCTCAGAACCCATCTCTGCTTCTTTTTGATGGAGCTGCCTAATTGAATTGTGAAGTAACATTGTCTCCTTTTACATTATTGCTGGTACTTAATGGGAAGCTCTGAGAATATCATGCCACATTGGTAGCTAAGAAGTATTGAACTCCCTCTGAGCATTCACTGTGGTAAATGCTTACTCATGTGGTTTATACCTAAGCAGCCTTATGAAATATGAAATGCTCCTTTTCTGCAGTTGAGGAATCTGAGGTTCATAGGAGTCAGTGGCTCCTCTGAGGTCTATACTCAAGTTCAGACCTCAGAGCTTTTGCTCGGTACTGCTTCACAGCACTTCCTTCTGGAAAGCATGAGGCGGGAGTACTGCTTGGAGTGGGTTAGTTAGGATAAGTGTTTTTGGTTATTGCTTCCACTTTCCTGCCCCTGTCTACCTACCTTTATCTTCATCCTTGGAAAATGTGGAAAATTATTTCCTAGGGTCCCGTGGTGACGGATAATGGAAATTTTATCTTGGACTGGAAGTTTGACCGGGTACACAAATGGAGTGAAGTGAACACAGCTATCAAAATGACCCCAGGTAATATGGGTGGTGGTCACCCTCCCAAGACCTTTGCTTAAGCAGTAGGGGAAAAGAACTCCATTCACCCACATTCAATAATACAGACCACAAGCAAGATATTGTGCCATGTGTTACAGGAATACTCCCATCTACAGAATATGAAATAAACCAGAGGGAAACTTTGTGGTTGTGTAGAGTCATACCTGCAAATAAGATGGCATGTGCTAAATTCTGCTAGAGGAATACCAAGAGTCTAGAGTGTACAAGGTTGTGTCTTTTGGGGAGTGTGGGGAAGTTCCATGAATAGAGGTAGTTTTTGAGCTATGCTTCAGCATAGTGTAATCTGGACCCTGAACTGTTTACAGGTGTCTCCTCTGACTCCCACTTTGATTGCATAGTTATAGAGTGGACACAGATTGGAGAAGGTTAAAGGATGTGCCCAAAGGCCATGGCACCAAAATGGGAGTCCCAGGTGGCCTCTAGGCCTGAACTTTTAGTCCTTATTTCTTGAGAGCCAGGTCACAGAGGGGCTGTGTGACATGATCATTTGGAGCAGTGAAGAACCATGGGTCTGGGGCACTGGGTAAGGCTGGGTGAGCAGTGTAGAGGTGAGTTATGAGTGTGTATTGGAGGAGCTATTAAGGGCTCATAGAAGGGGATTAAAAGGAGGAGGGAGAGCTGAAAAATATTAGTTTTACATATTGAGAGACTAAGATTCTAGCTGCCAATACTTCATGACATGGAATATTCTAGGCCCAGAACTGGCTAATGTGGCAGAGAAGGTCAATTTAGCAGGTGATAGTGGCTAAGTAGATCTTGGAACCGACTACCAGAGCACAGGCCCTGACCCAGCCCTGCTCTGTCAGCATGGCCCAGGTGCGGTTAGTTACTGTCCCTTCTTCTGTAAAAGGCTCGTTCTAATACCTACCTCACAGGATTGTTGGGAGGATTGAGTTAAAACACAAGGCGGTGTTTAATGAATGAAAGAAAAGATACTATCTTTACCATTAATTAATGCTAAATTGTAAGTTATCCATGGTATTTGGGATTGAAAGTGGTGTGAGTATATGCCATGTAATAAAGAGCTAATTCTTCCACCCTTTAGTTCACTATTTTAGGCTTCTATTGAGTATTTTTTACCAGATTTTTTTAAATAAAAAAAATGAGTTGAATTAGGCTTATTCTCTCAGTGTTATGTTTTTAATGGAAGCACTAAAGAGCCAAGAAGCAGGAGGAAGATAAGATATAGAGGTCATTGTTAGTACAATAAGAAGGTTTGCCTTAATGATAGTACAGGCAACCCAGGGGGCAAGTAGGAAACAGCTTGCCACTGTCAGCACTGCTCTGCAGGAAGTCTCCCAGTCCAACTGTGTAGCTCTGCTGCTCCTGCTCAAACCTTTGTTGGCTTATTGAGGCATTGAGATGTCCTTTGTGAGACAATTTCTTCCATACTTTGCTCTTCACCTCAAGTATAAGTCACAGCCTAGAGATAGTTAAAATTTTAAGAACTTAAAGTGAAGAAAACGAAAAAAAAAGAGGCTAGATAGGAAATTATTTAGTACAGGGCGACCAGGATCATCTGTGTGATTTGTTTTTTTTTTCCTCTTCCCAATTTGGCCCATTGTAATACTTGCTGCTGGACCAAGATCAAGGTAGGAGAAGCAGGGCAAGTTTCTCTTTCTGTTCCTGTCGCCTACCTTGTCCCATGTGATTTCATTAGGTCACTTAGAGGAGAGCTGAACCATGCATCCCCTTGGATGTTCCATTGTGTTATACTCAGAGAAGACAGGCTCTATAGAAGGGTCAGAGCTACTGGGGTTCTTTCCCCATGTCCATCCTGAGCCACCTCTGCCCTTCATACCTGAGGAGAGGTTGCTCTCAGATGAGACCTTAGACTGTTGCCATTCATCTCTGCTCTTTTTTTGAAACATTTTCTGAACCTGGTTTGACTTTCTCTTGGGTCACCTTGTATTACAGAAATTTGAAAAGGATGGGTCTTGAGTGGCCCACTTGGCTTATCTTTGTGAGGCTCCAGTTATGTTGGCATAGTTCAGTACCAGGAACCTTTGTGTTTCAGCAGATTTATTCTCTACCTGGTGGCTTTTCATTGAAAATAACTGATTTTATTGGGCGTGTCTTTATTTTTTAAAATATTTTTTGGTTAATCCTCATCTGAGGATATTTTTCCATTGATTTTTAGAGAGAGTGGAAGGGAGGGGGAGAGATGGAGAGAGAAAGAGAGAGAGAGAAACATTGATGTGAATACATTGATTGCCTCCCATGAGCACCCTAAACAGGGCCTGGGATTGAGCCTGAAACTGAGGTATGTGCCCTGGAATTGAACCCAGGACCCTTCATTCCTCAGGCTGAAGCTCTATCCACTGAGCCAAACAAGCTAGGGCTTGAGGGTGTCTTTAGAAGTTTAATATTTTTTTATTTTTTTTATTTTGGCACCCGAACAGGGACCTGAACCCTGGACTAGAAGTTTAATATTATTTATTCTTTTGAATTTACATAGTTTAATATTACAAGAGTGAACAGTGAAGAATCTCTTCCTTCTACCCCTCCAACTTTTCTTGTCTGTAGGCAGCCAATGTTACCAAAACTGTGTCCTTGAGTTATTCTTCGGTAAACAAATCAACCCTCCCCAGCCTCAGCCCTTTTACACAAGTGGGAAGCACACTAGATACAGGTTTTGCTTCCTAGTTTTTCCTGTCTTAGAGATTAATACAGAATAGTCAATAGAGCTTCCTTATTCTTCTTTTTAAAATAACTGCATGACTAGCTTCACCCTCCTGACTCTGTGGCCCCACCTGCCAAGCTTACACCTTGCTTGCTGCAGCCAGCCTAGGTTTCTGCTGCAGTCTTTCTTGAGGGACTCTGAAGGATGTCCAGGAAGACTAAGGGGGTGTCGGAGACATATAGGGAGAGACTGAGTTGTGTGGCTTTCAGGTGAAGACCATTATTCCCTGCACACACCCACTGGTCACTGTTCCTGTGCAGAGCCCTCCCTCTGCATGAACAAGTCTTACTCTGTTTTAGCCTGATGAACTCTGCTGGCCTCACCCTGATGACTCCTCGAGACCCCACCCTACTACAAAGGTTTGTGGGCACCCAACAGGGAGGCAGCTGGACTTGGATACCCTGACACTTTTGCTGAGTTGCCTCAATCTCAGCACTGGCACTGATACTGAAACCTGTATAGATCTGGAGAATACCTATTGTTCCTACCTGGTGACTCACTGTGTAATGGGGTGACCTGCAGAGACGACCACCAGGGACTCAGATCAAAATTTAGGAGCCTTTATTAAGCTGGCCAGCGACTACAGTTACAGCACCCTGCCGAAGCAGAGGCTGAACTGCAGCACCAACTACAGGAGTTCCAGCGTTTTTATTTGCAAAAACCACAAAGTTAGTTACAAAACCTTTTGTACACAATTAGTTCCTGACACAGTTATAGTGACTACCTTCCTATCTATGTGTTCTAGGAACAGAGAGTACAGCATGCTGGGAAGGGGCCATGAGACCATATCTCAAGGCCTGGCCTGATGTCAGCACATTCCTATCTACGTGTTTTAGGAACAGAAAGCACAGAGCGCCCCGTCTGGCCGAAGCGTCAGATATGCAGCCCAGCACAACTGAGAACCTGCCTCATGTAACTCACGCAGTGCAGGCTCTTTTAGTGGCTAGTTTAATAGGCAGCCAGCATGGGGAGCTGGGTCTTGGGTGCTGTGTCTTTTGTTGACCTGCCCCAGACTCAGTACTGGTGGTATTCTGCCTCAGGCCCAGCTTGGTTCTTCCCACATGCAGTGAGGCCCAGCAGAGGCAGCCACTAACTATGGATTGCTTTGGAACTCTAAACAGGCAGTCATAGGTAGTACCTGACATTGACCTGCACTAGCGTTTCTCCCAAGAGGCCCCAGAATTAATACATCCAGTGGCAGGCTTCAGACCACATCTGAGCACAAGAAATTAGCTCCACAAGTGGCACACCCAAAGGGAGATCTCCGCAGATACCAGCTCCTGCTGAGGCAAATTCTGCTTTGTGGGTTAGCCCCCACACAGTACCTCATACACTATTAGGTGTTCAACCCTCACAGTTAGCCAGCCCAAGGGTCATCCCCATACACAGATGGGCCAACAGCAGTCAAGACTCAACTACAACAGGAGGGTTCATATAACCCACACAAGGGACATTCCTAGAGCACCTAACTCAGGTGATCAAGGAGACTGCAGCACTATTGAGCCCCACAGGACACCTACTACATAAGGCCATCTTACCAAGACTGGGAGGCAGCAGTTCAACCTAATACACAGAAACAAATACAGCGAGGCAGCCAAAATGTGGAGACAAAGAAACATGCCCCAAATGAAAGAACAGGAGAAATATTCAGAAAAAGAACTAAATGAAATGGAGGCAAGCAGTCTACTAGATAGAGAGTTCAAAACAGTGGTTATAAGGATGGTCAAGGAACTTAGGGGAAGAATGGATGAACTCAGTGAGAACTTAAAGAGATAGTAAGTATAAAAAATGACATGGAAATCACAAAGAATCGGTCTGAAATGAAGAATACAATAACAAATGAATACACTAGAAGGAATTAGCAGCAGATTAGATGAAGCAGAGGATTAAATCAGTGATTTGGAAGACAAGGTAGCAGAAAACATCCAATCAGAAACAAAAAATAAATTAGAGGATAATTTAAGGGACCACTGGGACAACATGAAGCATAACAACATCCGTATCATAGGGGTACTAGAAGAAAAGAGTAAGGAATTGAGTATCTATTTGAAGAAATAATGACTGAAAACTACTGTAACTTTGTGCAGGATATAGATGCACAAGTCCAGGAAGCACAAAGAGTCCCAAACAAGATGACCCCAATGATGTAAAGGTTAAAGACAGATAAAATCTGAAAAGCAGCAAAAGAAAAGCAGTTACCTTCAAGGGAGCTCCCATAAAACTGTCAGTTGATTTCTCAACAGAAACTTTTCAGGCCAGAAGGGGTTAGCAAGAAATATTCAAAGTGATGAAAAGCAATGACCTTCAGCCAAGACAAGTCTACCCAGCAAGGCTGTCATCTAAAAATCAAAGGAGAAATTAAGAGCTTCCCAGACAAGAAAAAGCTAAAGGAGTTTATCACTAAACCAGTGTTATAAAATAATGCATAACATTTCATTTTATAGCTATTGCGTATTTTATTTACTCAGCTCTCCATTAGGGGATATTTGTTTCCAGTCCTTTGCTAGAAGGGAGTCACTAGATCAAAGGATAAGTGTATCTTGTGTTCTAGATGGTGTTGAATTGCTCTGCATGGATTGTACCAGTTTACCTAACAGCAACTTATGCAGGTGCCACTTTCCCCATTAAACTTTTTTCTGATACTTGAACACTGATATTTCATTGTAGCATATGTGCATACAGTTGACCCTTGAACAACACAGGATTCGAACTGCGTGAGTCCACTTATATGCAGCTTTTTCAGTTAACAATTGCGGTTGAAATCCATACTGCCCAAGGGTTAGTCTAGCCTATGCGGAGGGCCAACTGTAGTTATACTTCAGTTTTCTGCTGCAAGGGAAGTTGGTGCCCAGTTGTTTAGGGTTAACTGGATGATGTAAATATTTTCAATAAAGGTTGCTCACACTTGTAGTTCTTATTGCTGAATAATAGTCCATCATATTTATATGTGTGAAAGAAAGTTTGCATATTCAGTCTGCTCTTGATGAGCAGAGGATTTGGGTGTTTCCAGTTTTTAGCTACTAGGGAAAGTACTGCTGTGAACGTTCTTGAGCATGTTTCTTGATGACCATATGTATGCCTAACAGTTGCTTATATAACTAGAGTAGAATTGCTGGATCATTAGGTATGAATATGTTTGGCTTTAGAGAATATATCAACAAACATTTTCCAAAGTGGTTTGCCAATTACTCCCTCTGTCCATGGGTAGAAATGTCTTTTCATCCTCATCAAATTTCATCCTACTCTTTCTGGGGAACAGTTGGTGGTGTCTCATAGTTATAAGTTGCATTCCTTTTTGTCTTGTTTGACCCCATTTTTCATGTTTATTTGCCATTTTGAATAACCTCTTTTGTGGAGAACCTCTGAGTCTTTTGCCCATTTTTCTGCTGGGTTGCCTGTCTTCTGACTGATTTGGAGAGTTGCTTATAGATTTTGATGGGGGTCTTTGGTTGGGTATACACACTGCAAATATCCTCTTGGGCTCTGGGGAAACCTGTAAGGCTGACAGTATGATTTAGAGTATTTGGGAATGGTTATGGAGAGTAGTCATGGGAGACCTTTCAACTGGAAAATGACTTGTCATATGGCATCTGGAGAACATAGAAGAGGCAGCTTTGAAGCTCTCAAAGATGACTAGTGCAGACAAAGGGAGCAGCATGACCAAAGGCTCTGAGCAGGAGAGAGCCTGCTATATATGGGCGTAGAAAGGGAGCCAAGAAAGCAGGGGAGAAAGGAATTGTAAGAGGAAATAATGAGAATCAGAATCTCTTTTCATTTGTCCATTGTTGTTAATGGTCGCTGCTCCTACTGAACCTGAGATCCTTGATTCTTTTCTTGCCTTGGGAAGCTGAAACTTAATGTTTCCTTCTGTCCTTTGTCCTGCAGGTGTGGTGGACACTGGCCTGTTCATCAACATGGCTGAGAGGGTCTACTTTGGGATGCAGGACGGCTCAGTGAACATGCGGGAGAAGCCTTTCTGCTGATGCTGCAGGTGTGCAGTGTGCTCACCTGGAATCCCCGCCCACAGCAGGTGGACATGCCTCTCCCGGAGCCTTTGCCTTAATGTATCTGTGCCAGGGTCCTGCTGGCAGGGTGGGGTGGGGTGGGGAGTGAAATCCAGCCTTCTTGTATTGTTATTAAATGTCTTTTTTAAAAAGAGAAGTATAAACATATATTTTTACTATTAAAAATGCTGTGTTTTTAAAATAAAGTACAACTTGATTTCATGTTTTATGTAAAGCATTTACCAAAATAAAAAGAGGGGGACTGTCTTTTAAATTTTTAACATGAGCCTGCTGGTTAAGCTTCTGAATATTGAGTTTGGTGAATTATGTAAATCATAATTTTTGTTTAAACTGATAAAGGAAGGGCCCAGCAGCGGTGCTTCCCTGACACCTTACCGAAAGCATGGGAGCTCGCTGTTCTTCCTCGCTCCTTCCCGGGTTTCAGTTTTGTTGTGATCACGCACAGTTCTTTGTTGCACTTTTCAAGACGTGGTTTACAGAAGTCTGGTGCGTGTAGGGTGTGGTGCGCAGTGATTGTAAACTCCCAGGGAGAAACTGGTGGTTCTGTGAAGGCCAATGGTTCACTCGGAACCCTGCTGTTGGAAGCAGGTGGCCAGAAGCACTTGAAATGAGACACTTTTAAATGCTTGTCTTTTTGTTGTTAGTATTTTACCTGTTTCTTTATTATTACTTGCATGGCTCAGCATCAGAAGTTCTTACCTCTTTATATTGTTTGAGGGTTGGAATAAAAAATATGGTGCCATTCTTAGCCTTTGTCTTTACTATAGAATTTGCAGCAATTTTGTGGTAAAGTAGAAATCTATTTTGCTCACCCAGTTTACATTGGATCTCTGATAAGGGGTGGAATTTACTCAAGAAATCTTGAGCCAAAGCGTAAGTAAATATTTCCTTTATTTCTGAGAGAGCTGGTATCAATTTTATTTTCTTTGTTAATTGAGTGTAACACAGCTAAACAAATCAAATTATTCCCAAGTTTTATATTAGTGAAACCTTTAGTTATGGCAGCTGACAAGCAGTGACATGGGTGACCTGAATTCACCTTTATTCCCTCCACTGTAATCTTCATTGTGTGCCCAGTGAGCAGTGACTTGTTCAGACAGCCTCATAGACAGGAGAGGCTGTGAGCGCTCAGTGGTAAGTCTCATGCGATGGGGAGACCCATCTGAGAACCCTGATCTGCCCATGCTAACTTTGCACAATACTTAGGACAGTTGGCTTGTCCTCTGTTTTGAAGATAGGATTATAGCTACAAACTGGTTGACATCTAAATTTCTGCTAAATTAAATTGCAGAATAAAAGTTAATCAGGACTGAGTGTTGAAGAGGCATTCTTTGCTGAATTCCTTCTCTTTTTCTTCACACTCAAGGTGCTCTTTAAAAATAGTTGCCCCATGCCCTGGCAGGTTTGGCTCAGTGGTTAGAGTGTTGATCCATGGACCGAAGGGTCACGGGTTTGATTCCTGGTCAAGGGCATGTACCTCGGTTGCAGGCAACCAATTGAGTCTCTTACATCGGTGTTTCTCTCCCCTTCCTCCCTCTCTTCCACTCTCTCTAAAAATCAGTGGAAAAATATCCTTGAGTGAGGATTAAAAAAAAAAAAAAAATAGTTGCCTCACTCATTGCTGGGAAACCTGTTGTTAGGAATGCTTTATTTTTCTTCAAGACTACTTCAGTCTGAATGGGCACTAGATCTTACCTGAGAAAACTTGATGGAATTGATGTTTGGAAAGATCCCTTAAAGCTCTTGTGACATGGGTTAAATTCAGGAATAAAGACAAACAACAAAGCTGCACTGGATTTCTAAAAAACACCTGCATGCGCTCATCACATGCACATTCTTAGCTGGTGTCTAGCTAGACACTTGCACCTGTGACCACACTGCAGCTCCATTAAGTGTTAATCTGAGGTGTTTCTTTTGAAGAAAACAAAACACTTGGTAGGCTTTAGACACATACACAGCAGTTTGTTCATGAGGTAAATTTAAAAAATAACATTTATTGATTTCAGAGAGGAAAGGAGAGGGAGAGAGAGAAACATCAATGATGAGAGAATCCTTGATCGGCTACCTCCTGCACACCCCACACTAGGGATTGAGCCCGAAACCGGGCATGTGCTGTGACCGAGAATCTAACCGTGACCTCCTGGTTCATAGGTCTGTGTTCAACCACTGAGCTATGCCGGCCAGGCTTGAGGTAAATTTTGATTAAGTTTCTTCAATAAAATTGTGATCTTGTAGGTGATGAGTTGGATGGAAATAATTTGCAGGCTGGTGATCAATTTGATGGGCTCAGGGCAAGCTGCAAGTTGGTGTTTGGGAAAGGTTATAACAAGTTAAATGGCCTCATTTCTGGGAAGGATCAAGGAGGAAAAAGCACTTGGACATAAATAAAACATTGAATTTTGGTTCCAGTTGTAGCTCATAAAGTTTATACTCCTCATTCATCACACTTTTCCTGAGTCCCCATCAGGTGCAATTTCCTAGGGGGACAGAGAAGAGGGAGATGCTGCCAGTGCTTCCTGTGCTCTTGTCCCCCAGATGCTCCAGCCTGCTGCGCAGGACAGGCAGGTTCACCGGAACCCCCTGCACAAAGGGAGTGCAGGGGAACCACTGTCGGCACAGCGCACAAGAGGTGGGCCGGAGACCGCTGGAGTCCTGCCTGCCACCACTCCCTGAGTGCTGGGTGCTGCCCGGGTTCTCACAGCACCGTTACGGCATTTGCTCTCTTAATTTGCAGTGAGAAACAGGCCATGAACTGGAAAGCAGGCCAGACTTCTCTTGCTTGCTCTTAATTCCACGGGTTGCCAATGCATGGTTTGTGTTCCTCAACTGCTTGTGTTCATCATTTGCAACTTGAGTCACAAGTAATTTGTGAAAGTACTGAAGTTAGTGAAATGGTTTAGTGCAGCCGTGGGCAAACTACGGCCCACGGACTGGATCCGGCCCATTTGAAATGAATAAAACTAAAAAAAAAAGACTGTACCCTTTTATGTAATGATGTTTACTTTGAATTTATATTAGTTCACACAAACACTCCATCCATGCTTTTGTTCCGGCCCTCCGGTCCAGTTTAAGAACCCATTGTGGCCCTCGAGTCAAAAAGTTCGCCCACCCCTGGTTTAGTGTGTGTGTGTGTGTGTAGGTATGTATGGGCTCTTGGGTAATCCTATAATCTGTTTTCTAATGGGCTTTCTTTAGTGGTTTGACAATGGGAAATCCCCTTGTCAAATTCATCCTCGTCTGCCACCATTGAATTATCTCTCCTGTGCTCATTTCCTTTTTCCCTTTCTCAGGCCTGGGGAAATAGGCACCATGGCAACCTAGGAAGGGATGTTTATGGCCAAGGGTTGTTAGTTCCTTTTAGCCAGAGACCCTTTAGGAAGGGTAGTTCAGCACAGGTGGGTTTTCTGACCGGCAGGAGGGGAGCTCTGTGCCATGGGAGCCCCAGGGAGTCTCAGTCAGAGCAGGTTAGGATTTAGGGGATTTGGGCTGCCGTGGGGGAGGGGAGCTTCCAGGGAGGCCTCAAGGAAGCAGGCCTGTGCTCTGGGTTGGATGTTGTCAGGGCGGTGGAGAGTTCTGTGATGGGTTATCTTAACTTTAACTGAGAAAGTAAGAGGAATGGAGTGAGGCTAATGTTGGGTTGGATAAGGTGGCAGCAGTCACTCGGGGGAGATATGTCTGGTCCTTTGGTCTGGACGATGTTCATGGTTTGTCTGTGTTGAGACGTGATTTCAGAGTCGTCAGTTTTTTCCCTTCATTTCTGAGTCACAGAGTGGCCTTTTCTGATGCTGTTCTGTGAAATGTATGTTCCACAAGAGCCTACCTGTGGGCACCAGGTTTTCCTGACTGGAGCCGGGCCAGTGCCTGGCTGTCGGTGGCTGCATTTCCCTTTCCCAGGATCTAGAGGGCCCACGCACCCTACAATTAACGCACCTCCTTCGTGTTGATTCATAGGTATTGAGCACTTGCTGTGTACTGGGCACTGGGGAGGAAGGATCAGGTGCCTGCAATGTAGCTTCAGCCATCAAAGACTTGACTGGTGCCATGACAACCACTTCTCCTGCCTGACTTTTCAGAGCCTCACTTCGCTCACTTTGGGTCATAGCCAGCAGCTGATGCAGCCAGATCGGATTTCGTTAGCCTTCACTCTGCACTAACATCATCAGGTGATGTTTCTACATAGATAGGTTCAATGCCTGTGCTTTTTTAGTAACGGCTAAACCGAAGGTCAGCAGAACATGGCAGCGTAGTCTAGCATTCAGACGTGCCCAAGCAGTTCTTGTGTCCAAGCCATCCTCATGCCCAAGCTATCCTTGGCAAAGTCCTCACAAGTGAACTTTGGAATGTGCTTTGAGGGGCGGAGTTTGCTGTGAGTGGGCAGCGGGGTGGGGGGCAGGTCTACCCTGGAGAGGAACCCCAGTTTTCTAAGGGCAGTGCATTCAGACTGATGAGTTTTGAAGCCCGTCTTCTGTGGTGGACCACTGAGAACACCCTGCTCAGCAGAGCAGCTTCATCTCCAAACAGAAACCCTGGCTGCATCTCTTTTCCTGGTGACAGAACTGCATCGAGGGACTGATCAGGTTGCGGGCTGTCCCAAACCAAGTTTCAAATAGAGTTGTGCTCATCCTTATTTTATGTGTGAAGCTGTTCTCCGTGGAGGGTGAGGCCGACTGCAGTCACCACGGAGCTCTGGGGTCCTGGAGCCCTGGTCTCTGAGTCCAGCTGCACTTGGCCAGCATCTTGTGCCAGCAGTGCTGCCTGCTTCTTTGCAAACCTGGGAGAAGCATTCATAAGGGCGAGCCCACAGGAGCTGGCATCAGAGCAGCACGGGCATAGTCAGGAACAGCTCTGCCCAGTGAGCCACAAATAGAACGTTAAATGTGCCAGTAGCCACACTAAAGAGGTACAAAGAGATAGGTGAGGTTAATTTCAATAAAATATTTTATGTAACCCAGCATATCTAAAGTACTCCTCTTTTAATGTAATATTTTACATTCTGTTTTTGTACTACGTCTTCAAAATACAATGAGCATTTTACTGCAGTGTGTCTCATTTTGAACTGGCCACTTCAAGTGCTCGGCAGGCACACTGGCATTGGAAAACAGTTCTAGAAGTTCGAGGGGCACCGTTGTCGTCATTCTAGCTTTTAAGGCTCTTGGTTTCCTGGGATGAGCCTGGCTCTGTAGAGCCCACAGAGGTCAAGTCAAATGGAGTTGCCCCAGGGGGTCCCCTCAGCAGTCCCACTTCAAACTGAGGCCATCTGTACTTCAAGCATATGACCTGGGCCTTGTAAGTGGCCTTAGGTCCAGAAAGAGCACTATTCTTTCACCTAAGTTAACTGATTATTTTGTTATGTTATTTTTTCTGATTAATATGAATTACTATCTTAAGATAGTAATCTCAGTATGAAATTCCTTTTTTCCACTTAGTTTTGGAGAAGTTATTTCACCTCTAAGCCTAATGTCCTCAGTGTGGGTATAATAATCTCACCTGTTAGGGTTGTTTTGGGGATTAAATGAGCTAGAATATTCCAAGTGCTTCGGACGGTCATTGGCACATCAAGCATTTAGTAAATGCTAAGTTACTAGCAGTGTGCTATGGACTCTTTTTTTTTTTTTTAATATATTTTTTTATTGATTAAGATATTACATATGTGTCCTTGTCCCCACGTTACCCTCTACCCCCCACCCCCCCCACCCCCGCTCATGCCCTCACCCCCCCGTTGTCCATGTCCATTGATTAGGCCTATAT